GGGAGTTCTCTATACAGTCAGTGTTAATCCCTTATCAGATATGCAGTTTGCACATGTTTTTCCTATTCTGTGGGTTGCCTTTTTCCTGTTGTCAGTATCTTTTGATGTACAAAGGTTTTTAATTTTGATGTGGGTCCATTTTTCTTTTTTTTTTAACCTGTGCATTTCATGTCTTATCTAAAAATCACTGCCAAATTCAATGTCATGAATTTATTTTCTTCTAAAAACATCCCCTTTTTTTCTTCTAGGAGGTCCATAGTTTTAGATTGTACATTTAGGTATTTAATCCGTTTTGAGTTAGCTTCTGTATATGGTGAAAGATAAGGATCCAACTCTATTGTTGAGCATGTTAATATTCAATTTTCCCATTATTATTTGTTAGAGACTTTCCTTTCCCCAAAGGAAATGGTCTTGGCGCCCTTGTCTAATATCATTCGCCCATATAAATGAAGGTTTGTTTGGAGACTGTATTTTGTTCCATCGGTCTATGTGTCCATCTATATATCACTATCACAGTATGCTAATCACCTTAGCTTTGTAATGTGTTTTGAAATCAGGAACAATGAGACCTCCAACTTTGTTATTTTTCAAAATCATTTAGGGGTCCCTTCAGGTTCTTTATGAATTTTAGGAAATTTTTTTCTATTTCTGCCCCAAACATGTTTGGGATTTTGATAGGGATTACACTGGACTTGTGGATCATTTTGGATAGTTTTGATGTCTTAACAATATTAAGTCTTCCAAATCATGAAAATGGGATCTCTTTTACTTATTCGACTCTTAATATTTTTCAGCAACATTTTGCATTTTGTAGTGATCAAGGTTTAAGTCTTTCATGTCCTTGATTAATTAGTCTTCTAAAACAAGGTGTTGATTTTATGTCCTATAACCTTGCTGAATTTATTTATTCTAACAGTTATTCCCCTACCCCTCACCTCCAGGGAATCTTTAGGGTTTTTCTACATATAAGACCATGTCATCTACAAACAAATAATTATATAAAATTATTAAAAATTATAAAATAATAATTTTACTTCTTCCTTCCCACTTTGGATGCCATTTACTTCTTATTCTTTTCTAACTGATCTCACTGGAACTTCCAATACTATGTTGTATAGAAGTGGTGCAAATAGACATCCTTTTTTGTTCCCAATCATAGTAAAAGTTTTTTGTCTTTTACCATTGAGTGTGATGTTAGCTATTGGTTTTTCATATATGGTCGTTATTATATTTAAGTAGTTTCCTTCTATTCTTAGTTTGTTGGTTTTTTTTATTATGAAAAGGTATTGTTTAACATTCTGTTAAATGTTTTTTCTGCATTGATTGAAATGATGTTAATGTGATATATTATTACCTTGATGGGTTTTTCATATGTTGAAGCATCCTTGCATTCCAGGAATAAATCACACTTGGTTATGGTATATAATATTTTACTATATTGGTCAATTCAGTTTGCTTCTATTTATTGAGGAATTTTGCATCAGTAGTCATAAGGAATATTAATCTTTGTTTTCTTATATTGCCTTTGTCTGGGTTTGGTATTAGAGTGATTTAAGTACAAGGGCCACTGCATTCCATTTCTTCCCCCAGACAGCATTGAAGTTGGTGTGAAGATCACCGTAGAGTTGTCCCTGACCTTCTAGCCCTGGCCCCCACATTTCCTCCTCCCAAGACTGCAGTCACACTGACCTCCAGCTCTCCTGCCCATCACTACCCCTTGTTCTAAATGGCCTGTGTCCTCTTCCAAGCATATCACACAATTTGGTGTATCACCAGACAATGTCAGGAGGCAGCTTTCCTATGAGCAGCCCTGCCTTACAGATGAGACTGCCCCACCCTGTCAAGGGGTAGCTTACCACAGTCCTGAACTGCTTTAGCAGAGCCTAAATCCATGTCATCCTTTCATCCCATAGTTCCTTAGGGGAGGTGTGTCCACCGTTTCACATGACTGACAGAGAATAAGGGGTAGGCAGGCTAGTGGGTGGGCCTTTCCCCCAGGGTGGGGGGATCCTGAGAATCACCACCTCAACCTTGTCCTTTAAAACCTAAGGTTCCCACACAGTGCCTGGCAGTAGAAGCTGCCAATAAACTTGAACTAATGCTTTATTTGGGGTGTATTGAACCAAAAATAATGGTGTTGAATTAATTTATTTTGCTACTCAGGTAGAATATTTATAAGCTTTGAAAGCACATGGCATTATTTCCTCCTTGGCAAGAAAATGCTATGTGAATGAAAGGAGGCTTGTGTTGTGAAACTTCCAAGGAAACGTGTGATTTATCTCAGATTTGTCTGGGGCACTCTGTAGTTCCCCACGGATAAGATTTTAAACCTTTTGAAAGGTAAATTACCTACATGGGAGCTAAAGTGAGAATTGGAAGAAAGGATCAGATAAATGTTTCTGTTACCTTGAAAAGCGTGGGACACTTTTCCATGTGGCTTTTTTATTTTTTTTTTAATTTTTTTTTTTTAATAGAGGCATGTTTTATTTATTTATTTGTTTGTTTTGTTATACATGCACTGGGTACAGTCAGAAGCGCGGGAGGGTGAGAGAATTCACCAGAGCCAGAGCGGGGAGCAGAACAGGCAGAAGGACCTAAGTACACTGCTGAGGGGAGCAGCGGGCGGCAGGAGAGGTCTGCGCGCCATGTGGGACCCTCCTCCGGTGGCCAGGGAGCAGCCGGGGATCGAACCGGCGCTGCAGAGGCCGCGGCCAGCTTCGCAACCCAGCGCTCAACCGCTGCGCCACAGGGGAGGCCCTCCATGTGGCTTTTTTAAATAGCAGTTAGTCCAAAAGCCATTTATCTGGAGAAGCACTTAGAGGAAATGGATCTAGGCTGAGGTCTGTACCCCAGGTCACCACCCACAGGGCCCACATCCAAGGACAGGTTGTCTAGTTTTATAAATTTCAGTTCCCCTTCTGTAAAGTGGAATCACACGCTCCAGAATCATTTTGAGGATCAAATGAATCTTCTGATTCGGGAGTGGGGGGGTGGGAGGCAGAATGCAGACCATTTTCTGGTTGAACATTTTGCCCTTGAACACAGAGATCTCTGACATGGCCCCAAACCTCATTGCCTAATATCTTTTCCCTGGTTCTGCCTTTCTACCAACAGCTGTGGCGCAGGCCTCCACAGACAAAGAAATGAGAAAAATACCAAATAATGGAAACCTCAAGATGACAAAGGTGGCGTACCCTCTGGGGCTGTTCGTCTGCCTATTCATCTACGTAGCCTACATCAAGTGGCACTGGGCATCTGCCACCCAGGCCTTCTTCAGCATCACTGAAGCAGCCACAGGGGCCCGAAGGGTCCCACAGACCCGCAGTCCTCCCGGGACAGCTGCACGTGGTCATGAGGTCTTCTATGGTATCATGTTTGACGCGGGGAGCACTGGTACCCGAGTCCACATCTTCCAGTTCTCTCGGCATCCTGGAGGTACCCAAATCAGAAAGCCATTCCCTGCACTACTTTGTTCTTTATGTCTCAGAGCAGAGCGCACAGGGTCACTTTCCCTAAAAGACAGTGTCTTCTCAGAGTAGGGGCTGGACCCCTGCCTTGGACTCACCTGGAAGCTCATCAGAAATTCAGCTTCCCAGAGATACTGATTCAGGGTGTGGCTTGTGGCAGGAATCGAAATCTCCCAGGAGTTCCAGATTGTCCTTACTCACAGTAGCATCTGTCCCCTACCTAAGGATAGCTGAGGCCTTGCATGGTATTTGATGGTCTGTTCCCCTCCCAGCATTTACTGACAGTTCAGATGACTGGAACCATGACTTAAACCAAAGATCACATTGGGACCCCACAGGTAGTGGGAGCCAGGAATCTAGGAAAGTCAGATAAAATTCTGGCAAAGAACCAGAAGCAGATTGACCTGGAGCTGGCCAGTGGAACCGGAAGCAAGGGGGAGACAACAACAGTGAACTCAGCAGTAAGGAGGGAACTGGTGCCTGAACCCCATCATCTCTGCTTCCCAGTTCGGAGACAAGGGCTCCAGGAGGAGGCAGGGTAGGGTGGGAGTTGGTCATCTTCACCTCCCCTGGAAGCCCCCAGTCACAGTCTCTCTCCTTGCTCTGCTTCTCTCTTTTCCAACACTGTTTTCCTCCTCCATAACCTTCCCTGGGACCTCTTCTGCGCAGCATCCCTTAACCGTCATTGCCGCAGAACACTCTTCCTTGCCTGTGTTCGGCTCCCGATAATATAAAACCCTCAATACTTTTTTTTTTTTAAGACAGCTGTTCTTTAGAACCCTATAATATAGCCTCACATAAGCAAGGAAATGATTTTCATATTTGCAGTTTGGAATCTTCTACTGTACCATTCTGTTGTTGACTCACCAAGAGTTACTATGTTAAAATTAACATGGTAAGTGAGTACAGTTTTTTATGAGTAAAGTAGATCTCAAAGTTGTTTTTTTTTTAGAAAAAAGAAGGTAAAGTTCTCACCAAAACATGAGATATAATAGGTTATAATATAATCTGATTCTTCAGCTGAACTACGGATTCTTCAGCTGAAAAATATATACTTACAGGACTAATGACTAACTCAATGAAAAAACTTAATAAGAGGTACTTAAAACCTCAAGTCTTATCTAAATAAAATATAAAATGCTTCCCCATTCTGCATATCTGTTAAAAGATACTTATCCATTATAAAATTTCAAGCAAATCAGGAAAGAACAAAGAAGGTGGCCACCCTATCTCACCAATTTAGACAGTGATGGGTTCCTGTCACTCTGGGGTTGTTCTTTTTCAGATGTCTGTCTTTAAAAAGTGTAGCTAGTCATGGTTGTGTACATTCATAGTTTACCTATTTTAAAATGTTTTCCCTTTAGAAACGCCCACCTTGACCCATGAAACCTTCAAAGCACTGAAGCCAGGTCTTTCTGCTTATGCTGATGATGTTGAAAAGGTAATGACTTTCTCTTAGGTTTATTTGTTCCATCAAATTTATCTTCTAACTGCAGTTTATTAAAGCCAGCTCCCTTTCTCTTGAATGCATAGGCCATCTTCACAGAGCAAGGCCTCTCTGATGGTGCTGACCTGGGCTCTTCTGCTGTGTAGGATGGTCAGATGGAGGAAATTGGTACAGCACCTGAGGCTGAAGGAGGACCATTCCCCCACACCCACAAGCCCCAGCTTCTCAGACCCCTCCCCAACCAGTGTGCATGTCACCCACAATCTTGGCACCATTCAAAAATACAAACACTACAAACTTACAAAAAGTGTTACTTGAAATTTTAATTTTTTTGTTTCAGTTCCTCTGATTAAAAATAACAAAAATTGACTAAAACAAAAAAAATAAAGTGTATTAAGCAAAATCTACAAAAAACAAGTAAGTGTAAAAACAATTCAATCAACTGTCAAATAATGACTTTTGTAAGTCTGTAGCATTAATACTTAAATCCTTAAAGCTTACAACTGCACTTAATTCAGATAGCTGTATTTCCGCTAAGGCACTCATGAAACTTACTAATATAGTTGTTAAGTTCCTTTTGGTTCTGCATGTCTTAAATCAAAAGCTAACATACACCTGAAACTAACAGATATGTCAGTTATACTCCAATTAGAAAACAAAAAGCAAATACGTGATTCTTGCCCACAGATGCATCCTGATCTCAATGTAATCACAGCCTTGCTTTCCTGTAGCTTGATTAAAGAAAAATCAAAATTAGTGATCCTAGAGTGACCATAAAGTTAGACCTGTTTATTAGAGATATCCTTAGAATAAACTGTTAGGATATTTTAAATCTTATTTGTTTGAGTAGGCAATACACAATCAAGTGGGACAAGTTTCACAGCCTCCCAGGGTGAACCGAGAAATCTGCCTCCCTCTCCAACCTTCTCCAGGAAGACCAGAGTCCTGGTTTCTTACATATCCTTCCAGAATGAGTTTATGTGTGCATGAGCAAATGCAACTGTATTCTTCTCCCTTCTTTACTTTCCATATGCATAGAGTGTATGCACTTTGCTTTTGTTGCTAAACAGTATCACTTGGAAACCCATTTGCTATCAAGATGTGAAGAGCTTTCTTGATTTCCTGGGAGAATGGTATTGCATTGTATGGGTGCACATTGAATTTATAGAACCAGTCCCCTTCTGAAGTTTATTTTTTTTTTAAGATTTATTTATTTATTTATACAAGCACTGCGTACAGTCAGAAGCATGGGAGGGTGAGAGAATTCACCAGAGCCAGAGCAGAGAGCAGAACAGGTAGACTGATGAAGTACACTGCTGAGAGGAGCAGCGGGCGGTAGGAGAGGTCTGAGCGCCATGTGGGACCCTCACCTGGTAGCTGGGGATCGAATTGGCGCTGCAAAGGCTGCGGGCAGCTTCACAACCCAGCACTCAACAGCTGCACCACCAGGGAGGCCCCTGGAGGTTATTTAGATAATGTTTGTCACCTTAGATGTACTTCCTTACCCACACATGCACAGGTGTTCTTGCAGGTGAATTCTTAGAATGGGATTTCCTAGTGAAAAGAATGTATGTTTCCCCTTGGACAGACATCACCAAACTGTCCCAGTGGCATTGTGCCTCTTGATATGCCCAGTGATACTTTGTCAAAGTTGTTTCCCTTCCCCAACCCTGCACTACCACAGGGCCTTATCCAACTTTTGAATCTTGAGTGTTCTGACAGGTAAAAAAGGCAGTTTTCATGAGGTTTTAGTGCTATAATGGACCCCAGAATTCATTCATGATATTCAGGGCAATTTCCACTCTTCTGAGGTCACTTGGTCAGGTTTGGCAATGGGGCTGGGAGGTGGTTCTAGTTGCTGGGTGGTATAGAACAGCGGGAGCCCCTCTGCATCCTCACCCACCTCACTCGGCTGCCAAGGGTATATCTTCTTGTGCACCTGCTCCATGCCCCAATGCCCACCTGTAACATTTGAGTTACTTTCCTGCTGATTTGGAAAGTTAGGAAAAAGTATAAATTAGTAAAACCAAAAGGGTGGGGGAGAATTTGTGGCCCTGCTTGACATGCTTTGCCCAATCTGACTTGACTTTTTCCTTGTTCACAGAGCACTCCAGGAATTCAGGAATTACTGGATGTTGCGAAACAGGACATTCCTTTTGACTTCTGGAAGGACACCCCATTAGTCCTCAAGGCCACAGCTGGTTTACGCCTGTTACCAGGAGAAAAAGCTCAGAAGTTACTGCAAAAGGTGATTTCCATTTCCCCCGAGGGCAGAGGGAAGGGGAAAGAAGGAGGGGAGGGGTGTGGCTTATGATAACTAAAAACAGCAAATATTCATCCAGTATCCAAGCAGTCAGACAGGATATGTAGACACTTCTTGGGGGAACCACATTGGAATTCTAACAGCATCACTTTTAGACAGAGGGATTATGAATGAATAATGTTTCTTCCAATGATATTGAAAGCAATTCATGTTTTGTAGAATGAGACTGTTTTATAATAAGAACAACTTCATTTTGAAAATGCATTGTGCTTTCAAAGGGCTTCCTTCCACCCATGGGCTTGCCATGTGTTAGAGAGCTTCTCTGGGAACTACCATCCTGGCTTAGTATGAGACTCAGATGTACCAATTGAAGAGAACCCTTGGCCTTCTTTCACCAGCTCTGGCTCTCCATTATAGGGTCTGTCACCAGATCCCAGAGCACCCCTGCAGAGACTCTAGAATCTGTCTCTAATAATAGGCGCTTGCAGGGTTCTTATCAGACAAGTTAAGAGAACTATTCTAAGCACAAAGGTTCTTCTCCTCTTTACTGTTTCTATACTCTTTAGCTGCTAACTGATGGTGCATGACACATCTGTCAAGGTCCCTTCCAAAAATGACCTTTACATGCTCACCTCAGATTTTAGGGATAAAGTGCAGTTGGAGTGTTGGGATACAAGTGCAAATACAGAGTACAAGTCTCTGTATTGAGACTTACTAAAAAATGGAGATGGAAACGTATACATCTGTGCAGGGGTCAGGGCCAAGCTCTGCCATGTGCAGCTTCCCACCCACTTCATCCCCATCCTAAAGTAGAGCATGTTTGGGGGTCCAGCAGGCTCAGTGCATCCCACAGTTTTCCAGTCCAGAGCAAACTTAGGCTGGTCTCTCCCTGGCGGCATCCACCTCAGCTAGTTCAGGGAGTAGATTAACATGAAAACCCCCTGCTGAGGATTAGAGAAGTTTAAAGCAAAATGTGAGGTTGGCACTTACCAGCATCAACAGACACCTTCTCATGTTGTGTTGCTGCCTGCAAAAATTCTAGCATGACTGGGATCTAAGAGCTTAAATGCTAAAGGGTAAAAACATGTCTGTCTCTACATTTAGGTGAAAGAAGTGTTTAAGGCATCGCCTTTCCTCGTGGGGGATGACTGTGTTTCCATCATGAATGGAACGGATGAAGGTAGAGTTGCCAGAAGCTCTGTGCATGGGCTGTGCGGCAAGGTGACAGGGCTGCTGCTAGTGTTTTTTCCTTGATGAGCACCATGAGTGCTCAGGGACCGAATGATGGGCCCTTCCAATTCACAATTTAACTGGTCTCAGAATATCTCAAAGACACAATCTCCTTTTGACCAACTTCAAACCTGTCTCAGATGTTTTTCAGAACAAATCACCCCACCTGCTGCCTTGTTTAGAACAATGCTGTTGTGTTAACTCCAAGAAAGACCCTTAACAAGGTTCTTCACCCCTGATTTTAAATGTAACCTTAAGAGATGGTGGAGGGTAATGTTTGGTTCTCTTACCCGCCAAAGTTGATGATAACAGGAGGGAGAGATATGACTTTGGTAGTGTTCTGGTTTTTTAGTGCGGTGTCTGCTAGAAAAAAATAGTTCTAGAAAATGCTGGATGACTTCATAAGTAGCATTCATGTCTGTGGATGATCTGAGTGTCAAGGAAGCAGTGGTCCCTTCATGCTCCTGAAATATGAGAGCAATCATCTGAGTCACATGTGTTATGTTTGAAACTTCTCAAGTGCCTCAGACACTCTTTGTCACCCTCTCTTGTAGGCGTTTCAGCGTGGATCACCATCAACTTCCTCACAGGTGCGTGCCCTTTCTCATAGAGATTGGCAATTCACAGATGCTGTTGTCAAGAGTAAGGGCATCATTTCTACCCTTCACAGTAACTCCTTGGCATTTCAAAATGTTGCTGGTGTTGGAATGATGGGAGTATCCATCTGGCTCATCAGGGTGAGCAGTGAATGTTAGGGAAGGGAGAGCTTCCTTGCTGCCTGGAGTGACAGTCACCCAGGAGCACCCAGCCCCTTCTTCCAGCGACATCCGCCAGTGCCCTGTCCTCTCACTCCTTAGAGAAGTCATGAATGAAACTAGTCTGGCCTTCAAATATTGAATGTGAAGTGAGTGCTAGTCATCATGTGGTTGTATTCCTGTGCTGTGGGTAAAACAGGGAACAGAAACATCTGTTCTTGGAAACAGGCAGCAGGGAGTTTTTTTCCTTAGATTATTCTCTGTACATGTGGATTTTTGTCACTTTATTGTATTTATAGAAAAGAAGTGTATCTGACGTGTGTATGAAAAAAGATGTTTCTTGGCAGAATTTGCCCATTGGGAGTAGGGGACCACATTAGGGGACAAATCAGGAGGGGGACATAGGAAATAGCAGAGAAGTCAGTGATGCCCTTCCTAGTAGGTGTGGTTGACCAGTATCTCTGCTCAAGGTCACTGTTGTTCAGATTAAAACCACAGCTAGCAGAGCCTTTGTTCTTTTCTTTAAATATTTAGTGCATCCTTAAATGAGTATTTTTATACAGCTGCAGCTATACTTCTCTTTCTCTTTCCACTGAAGGACTTGGCTTCTAACCTCTCTTTGTTTTGCCTACTCTTCTCATCTTTTTATTGTGTGGTTTTTACTTTGCGCTCCAGGCAGTCTGAAAACCCCAGGAAGGAACAGTGTGGGCATGCTGGATTTGGGCGGAGGATCCACTCAAATCACCTTTCTTCCAAGAGTTGAGGTAACCCATCCCTGCCCACCTATCACAGTGCCTCCCACTCCAAGGCAACCTGCCTCGTAGGGGGAGCTTATGGGGAGGCCCCACTGGCCTCTGAGTCAGTGAGGTCAGTTCGTTTCCTGAAGATCAGATTTATTCAGCTAATGCTTGTTTCTTTGATTTTAACTCTGCTTGGGAGGTGAGGAAATTTGTCTTCATGGTAGGGGGGCGGGGTGATAAATGACCTGGAACCCTTTGGAACAGAAAATATGAGGTGGGCCTGTAATTAGTCTGACTCACAGGAATGACAGAGCCTCAAACCTTCTCAGGACAGGGGCCTCCCTGGTGTCCTGGGGGTTAAGTCTCAGCCAGGAACTTACTCTGAGGCCTGAGTTCGATCCCCAGTCAGGATGCTAGCTCTCTCCTGTCTCACCCACTGCTCCCCTCAGCAGTGTATTTCAGTCAATCCACCTGTTCTATTCCCTGCTCTGTCTCTGGTGAATCCTCTCACCCCTGCACCTCTGGCCTACACCACAGTTCTTCTACTCAAAAATAAAAAAAGAAATTATAAATTAAGGAAAAATAAACCTCAGGACAGTTACTTAAGGAGATGAACATATTTTCAACAAGGAGTATCTGCTGCTTTTGAAAAGAGTTCCCTCCTCACTCACCACTTTTTGTTAATTTTTCAGTTTTCAGCAGAAGAGCACTTAAATTTACTAGGGCATATTTGTCAAAATGGGTAAATGCTGCTCATGAGGAGGAAATCTTAGTTTCCATTCAGGATGGTTTTTTTCATGGCTTGTTCCATGCTCTTTCACAGCATGGGATTAAATGAAAAGTTCATTTAATTGAATACACCTGTGAATATAGCAGTTCTTTCAAATGAATTGAGCAAGTGAGGGACAATTTTCTAGAGGAGTCAACAGGAAAGAGTGTAACCCTCCTGTTCTTCCCCAGGGCACCCTTCAGACCTCCCCACCTGGCTACCTGGCATCACTCCAGATGTTTAACAGGACCTACAAGCTCTATTCCTACAGGTTTGTCAGTGGGAATCAGTGCGGGGAGAACTCAGCTAGCATCAGGTGGTCTCCCCCTTGCCTCTGGCTGCTGCTCATAGGGGACAGAGACCAGGCATTCAGTAGGGATGCCAGGTCCTCAGAACTCCCTGCTGTGGACCCACTTGGGGTAACCTTCTCTTCCTCACCCTCCCTCTCCTCTTCCTATCCATTTCCCTCCTCTTCCCCCATATTTGTCCTCCTCCACCCACCCCACCCCCGCCCCACCATCTGCATCCTCCTCCTACCCATTGCTCCTTCCTCCCTTTTCCTCCTCCTTCCTTCATTTTCTAATTTACCTGTCGTCCTTATTCTGCTCTGGTTTGGATGAGGTTTCCAAAGTGTGGAAAAGCCCATGGATTGTGGAAGAATTTCCTGGGCCATGTGTTTGCTGTATGGTGCTTTCAGTAGATTCTTTCCATCAGGCATTGCGTAAGGATGAGGGTTCCCTGTTTCCTGCACTGTGCTGTCCGCAGCCCCTGGTCCAGCCATTATCAAGGAATAGGCCTTTGTTTGTTGAATTGACTAGCTGAATGCCCTCAACTCCACAAGGAAAGACTTCAAAAGAAGCAGAAGGAAACCTGCTAACTGCCCTGCCCAGGGCTCCTCCCTTCCCCACTTGTTTTGGATGCAGGCCAGATGAATGTACTGGCAGCATTATTGGGACAGCAGCCAGGACTTTTCCTGGCCAGCCAGCCGCTCACCCAGTATTTTCTTTCCACAGCTACCTGGGGCTCGGGTTGATGTCAGCTCGTCTGGCAATTCTAGGTGGCATAGAAGGGAAGCCTGGTGAGTAGAATTTGGGGTGAGCACCCTCCTTGCTTAGCAGATGTGAAGAGGCTTCCGGGAGAGTGGCTGTTCCATCGTGGGGGAGGGGCGCTTGCCCTCTCCTCTGTCATGGCAACTCACTGGCCTTCTGCTGTTGTGTGTGGAAGGGGGTGCCCCTGACCTTGTTGGTGGACACCCTGATAGGGATGGAGGATGTTTTACCTGTGTCTTAGACTTTTTTTAATAAGAAAAAGGTGCTACTGAAGTCACTTCTGAAACCTGAAGCTGGGCAATTTTAGGAACCCAAGAAACTGCACTCATCAGCTACATTTGGAGTCAACTTGTTTTTAAGGATTTAAAGAGAGAACCCAACTCTTCAGGATAGTCTGGCGGGAACACAAGGAGGTGGTTCTGGGCCTCTTGCTGTGGGGCTGAGGGAGCTTTTCTCTCATTCACAGTCAGTCTAATCTGTCTTCTCTTACTCTCTGAAAGAAATAAACATGAGCTTGGTCCTTCCTCCAGGCGTGGCATTTGATAGACATGAATCCTATGTCTGGTTAGGTTATTAATAACCTAACCTATATCTGGTTAGGTTATTAAGGCTATGTCTGGTTAGGTTATTAATGACACGTTTAGTTCTGAGCCTTCTCTGTGACTTCCTGGTAGACTGGCTGAGAAGAAGCCTGGCATTGGCCAACAGTATTGAAGAACTAGGAGATCTTAAGGGATGGCCTCATCCTGATTCTGGAGTGGGGGAGCACTGTCCAAGGATGGCATCAGCCTGTCTTTCCTGGTAGCATCATTCGGGGGCCCAAGGCTTCAACTTGTGCCTCTGCCATAGATGTGTTTGTGAGCCACCTGTCTTCTCCACCTCACCCCTCCTTGAGGCCCTTCCCCTCAGCATCCTGCACTCTTCCCACCTCTGCCAGCCCAGCATTCCACCTGCCTCTTCCAAAGGCCCTTCAGGCAGGGTAGAATGTTCAGCTGAAACTAACTTGTCCACATACATCCTATTTCATTCATTTCTTTCAAATTCACTTTAACCTCATGATATTCGCTTCATGCAAACCAAAACACATTCATGTCTCAGAGACCCCTGTAACCCTTACTGGGGCAGCAGAACACCTTATTAGCTAATAAAAAGAAGGCAGGCTCCTGTGTTTGCCCTCCAGAGCTAACCTCAGGGTTCCATCAGCTCCCGTCCTCCCCCTACTCCCAGTAGGGAGGACTGCTGGCCTTCTCGGGCCATACAAAGTACCTAATTGGGACGTGGGGGTGGGGGCAGAGGGCATGCCACCAACCAAGAAGGGAGTGGAGTACCCCCTGCCCCAGAGGATATCTCCCTTTTGTGTACCCTTTGCACAGCAGTTTACCCAAAAAGAGTGAGTGATTGAGAAGAGCAGACAGCAAGTTGTTTACTATTGAGGTTCATGATTTCACTGACTTCAGCAGGTGGCACCTCTGTTGGGACCACTGGGGTCCAATGTGTGGTGTCGATTGGGGTGCCTCAGCACTCCTCCACGTAGCTTCTCTTCCCACAGAGCAGCCTGCATTTGTCCCTGGTAGCTCAGGGGAAGGAGCACTGCCTGGAGTCATGACCTCCTGGCCTGAGCATTCATAGGTGAAAGCAGGTCCAGGCCAGAATCAAGGAGAGGGCAGGGGCCCACTTCTTGTGGGAGAACAGCATGCCTACTTGAGGTGGCATTGTGGGGCCAGCCTTGGAGACCAGCCATGAGGATTCTTTGCTACTGTGGGGCCCAGCTTTGGTGTTGTAGATCCACATGGATTCATGGTGTGGTGCACCTGGTGACCTGGACCTACCAGGTTACTCTGCAGCCTGAGCCATTTATAAAATCAGGTAATGCTGACTCTCCTCCTCTTAGGGTCATTGTGACAGTTGACTGAAAAATGCTCAGGCCAGTGCCTGGACACATGAGCTAAGAGTGGCCGTGTTTCCAGAGTAGAGAGGGTCTTGCTGCAGCGTCTGTGACAGAGAAAAGCTTTGCCTCCCTGGTTGACTTGGAACACTTCACCAGTTAGATCTCATGCGGCAAAAAAGAAGCATGTTGCCTTGAGCCTCTGACGCCTTCGTTACTATCCTGAAATACTCTCTGAACTGCAGGCCTGCCCCTCAGCAGAACCCGTGTGTCTCAGCTCCATGCATGCCATAATCCTCCAGTGGTAACATGCCTTTCTTTTTAATCTATTTACTTCAGCAAAGAATGGAAAGGAATTGGTCAGCCCTTGTTTGTCTCCCGGGTACAGAGGAGAGTGGGAACATGCTGAAATAACGTACAGAATTTCAGGACAGAAAGCAGGTACAGTAGATTTATTATTTACTGGTGATTCATAAGGCTTAAGAATGGCAGCTTGCCCTTACCCCAGTATCTTGCAAATACCTCAGAAGCAGGGAGACGATGTTCAAACCTCTTTTCTTTCCCAGACAGGCCTACAAAATGGAAAGAGAAGCAGCTCTGGGCACTTTGTCAGGGCTTTAGGGGGCCCTTGCCAGAGCACACTGGGAACTGCCAACTCCTACAGGGTCTCTGCACACGGCCCCCTTGTCCATTGTCCAAGTTCTTTGTAAGAAAGCATTTGGCTGAATTGCCTAACTAGCCTCTAATGAGGGAGGATTTGAACATGCCACAGCTCTGAGACAAATGCCCAAATCCAGACTGTGCAGTAGCACCAAGAACCCATCTCTGGACATAGGAAGAGAGAGCTTCTCCTCTCAGGGAAGCACAGTGGGATTCCCTCAGGCTGCTGGCAAGGACAGAAGAGGAGAGGCGGCGAGGGCTCCCTTGGTTGTCACTGCACTGACAGGTCTCACCAGCCTGCCCCTCCCACCCCCTATGGTCTTTGTTGCTCTGTGCTCTTTTGGTTCTTTCTGAAGGACACATGGGCATGAGGTTTTTTTGCCTTCAGTGACAGCTATTTCTACTTATAACACTTCTAACACTAGATGCGGGGGGAGGGGGTTCTGCACACCAACCAATCCGATTCTCTTCCGACACAACTGTTCTCACACTAACTACCTGGATCTAGAGCAGACCCCACAAGTTAAAGGCCCTCCTCCACAAGATTCTCCGCAGCTTCAGCAGCTGCCAGTCTCAAACCACAGACCTCCTATACTTCTGATCAACTAAACTGTGGGCTCCCATACCCCCGCCCCCGATAATGTGCTAGAACAGCTCACAGAATGCCAGAAGACACTTGACTTACTGCGATAGGTTATTATGAAGGGTACAACTCAAGGTCAGCCAAATGGAAGAGAAGTATAGGAAAAGGTGTGGGAGGTGAGCAGAGTTTCCATGCCCTCCCAGGAGTGCTGCCTCCCTGCAACCCCACATGTTCACAGATCCAGAAGCTTCCCCAACCCTATTGTCTAGGGGTTTTTATGAAGGTTCCATTATGTAGGCATGTTTGAGTAAATCTTTGACCATTGGTGATTGGCTCACTCCCCTACACCTTCTTTGCCCAGGAAGGTAGGGGTAGAATTGAGAATTCCTCTAATTACATGATTGGTAACTGACAACCAGCCCCTATCCTGAAGCTTCGAGGAACCCACCAAGAGACACTTCATTAGCACAAACTCAGAGATGCTTGAGAAGAGTTACCATGAATAACAACAAGAAGACTCTTCTCACCCTCATCACTCAAGATCACAAGGGTTTTAAAAGCTCAGTGTGCAGAACCAGGAACAAAAACAAACATATATATATATATATATATATATATATATATATATTTTTTTTTTTTTTTTTAAGATTTATTTATTTATAGAAGAACTGGGGTACAGGCCAGATAAACGGGAGGGTGAGAGGATTCACCAGACAGAGCGGGGAACAGAACAGGCAGACTGTTCTGCTGTGGGGAGCAGCGGGCGAGATAGGAGAGGCCTGCCGCACCATGCGAGATTCTCGCCAGCCGCCTGGGATCGAACCTGCACTACAGAGGATGCAGACAGCCCCACAGTGCGGCGCTCAACCGCCTGCACCACCAGGGAGGCCCAGTATATATTTCTTATTATGCAGTTACTGTGCAGTGATTCTGATTCAGTCAACCACTTGTGACATGCCATCTGGTAGAGCCTCCTGCAGTACTGGAGCAGAGCAGTCACAGTGCAGATCAGGTCCTTTCCCTCATGGAACTGACACTCCAGTGGGTGGAGCTGGGCAATGAAATGCAGGAGAAAGTGCTTTGAAGATAAATAAGTGGAAAAAAGGTACTGAGGGTGTAATTGTACCCTGGTGATATTTTATCGGAGTTTTTCGGAGAGCAGGCCTGGAGTGTGAGGACCCCAGACGGGCTCTTTCTCAGTTTTAGCTTTTGTCGAAAAAAGAATTCAACATGGAGACCGAAAGTGCAGAAAAGGAAGAGATTTATTCTTAGATAAGAGGAAGGACAGCAACGCTTTCCTACCAGAAGGGGATCCCAAGTGTGTGGCCACTCAGGTGACAAGAAGCAGGTGTTTATATGGGCAGGGTGAGCAAGGAGTTGGGGGTTGGCCATTGGGAATGTCCGCATGGTGTCTCTTGCTGATTAGCTGGGCCCTCAGTGATCTCCTAGGCTATTGAGGCCCACTGAGTTTTCCCACTTTACCCAGCTACCGCTGCAAAACCAGCTTTGGTCTGTTGCTGTTCTGTAGTTATGTTGGTGTTCTGGACATTCCATTTTTAATTGAATTGGGCTGGGGGTGGGGATGTTGTTTCTCAGACTGATAAATGGACCTGGGGCACCCTGTTCCTAACTGACTGCCTATATCCATTGAAGAACTTCCTTCTTCAATCTTTGAACCAAGACATGAAGAAATGGGGAATGAGCCATGTGGACCTAAGGCAGCATATGAGAAGGAGCAGCAGATACAAATACCTGAGGCAACTGCTGCTTCTAAAGAGCAAGAGGGGAGAGCCAGACTAGTCTGACAAGGGAGAGTACAGTTATGAGAGGGCTGCCTCATACCAGCCGTAAGTCTATGGAGAAACAAGGGGTGTCAGGCTCTGGCTCCTTGGAACCCAAGCACCTCCCCCAGTGTCTCACTTGCTGAGCTACTGCTGACCTGGCCAATGGCATAACCCTGTGGATCGCTTGGAGAACTGGCTCCCCACAGTTGCTGTTAGACAATGGAGCAGGTGTGCACTGTGGGCACATCCATGTCCATTAACCTCTGGTTATTGCCATTATCCTTCAAGCAGGGAGTTATGACCAACTTGCCAAACTGCCCATTGGGCCTGTTTCCTCATCTGTGACTTGCAGCCCCCAACTCTCAGGTGGCTCATGAGTCGGGGTAGGACATCACATGTTCAAAGCTCAACTAGGACTGGCAGAGGGCAAGTGCAGAATAAACAGTGCAAACTTGAACCCACTGACAGCTGCACAGCTCCATTCTCTCTCCGGCCATCTGTGCGCTCAGAGTTTCTCTCCTTTGACCTGGACTGCCATGGGTCTTAAAGGTTGCTAGTGATTGTGGACGTGTGTGGTGCTGGCGAGCACGTGAACTTGGAGTGGGATCTGCATAAGATCCCGGTCCTGCCTCATCCCAGGCAGGTCTTGCTCACATCACCGGGAAAAGGCCCCCAGGGCTGCGTGCCCAGATGCTCCAAGCCTGCTAACCCCCTGGCTTTGTGCCCTCCCTTTGCCAGCAGTGAACCTGCATGAGCTGTGTGCTGACAGAGTGTCAGAGGTCCTCCGAAATAAAGTGCACAGAACAGAAGAAGTGAAGAATGTGGATTTTTATGCATTTTCCTACTATTATGACCTGGCAGCAGCTGTTGGCCTTATAGGTAAGGAAGGGTCTGTTGGGCTTCAAGGAACCTTGGTTGTGAGTCCTTGCGCCTTCTGGGCAGAGAGCCGTGGCAGAGCATGAGGAGGCATCCGCCACTGCTCAGACCCTTAGCAGTGTGTGCGTCTCCCCTGACTCTACACCATAGTGAGCTCACTCAGAGCAGATATGAACCGAGGAGTCTGCCATGGCCGAGGGGTGATGAGATTCCTGAGAGGGTTGTGAAGTCATTTGTGTGGGTTGAGACCAGAATTATTTTAATGAAACATTAAGGATGGAGAAACAAGGGGTGTCAGGCTCTGGCTCCATGGAACCCAAGCGCCTCCCACAGTGTCTTGCTGAGCTACTGCCGACCTGGCCAGTGTGAAGGCCGCCGGTGAGTGGGTGCTCTGAGTGGGAGGGGACTTCTCTCACCCCGATTCAGGCTCCAGTTCCCTCTCTCTGGCACAAAGCAAGGTGCCTGGGGTGCCCCCCAGCAACTGGCCCTGCTGCTGCTTGGCCTACCAGGCTTAAGAGGTCTCCGCCAGCTCCCCAGAGCTAGAAAAGTGTGTCCCCACTGTGCTCTCCTAACCATGCTGCTAGTTGTGGACATCTATGTGCCCGCGGTCCCCCACACCCCCAATTGGCCCGGGCACCTGCTGTTCTGCCCTTTCAGGCTGGTTCCTGCCCAGCCTGGTCAATCCAGGGTGCCTCACTTTGTCTCAGGCTGCCTTTCCCCTCGGAGTTCAACATCATCTTGGGGTGACTCAGAATGCTGGGCTGAGATATTGTAACTCCTTGTTGGGATCATGTGTAACTGAAAGAAAGACTTGGGTCTGTTTTCAGCAATGGAACCCACCTTAGCATGGCATTTGCTGACTTAGCACACCCCCAAAGTCTCAGAAAAATTAGGAGATGTCCTTTTTCTTAGTACATTGAGCAGCTGCCTCATACCAGCCATAAGTCTATAGGACACCTTGGGGACCTTCTATTGAATATAGAGCTTTTGAGGTATGTTGATGAAACCAGTCGTCATTCTTGAGAGTTAGGGAACCCAGTACTTCATCCTTCCTCCCCTGGAATGACACAGAGGCCACATTCTTGGAAGCCTCTGCCCATTTGTTCTAAAACTCCACCGCCCACTCCTCACTTTTTTTTTTTCAACAGAATTCTTTTTTTCACACTCAGGAAATTGAAATCAAAATACTGTTGCTGAGTTCAGGTCTCACAACTTTGGGAAACTTTCATTTTTTTTTTCTCTGTCTCTGCCTTTATTATTATTTTTTTTAAGATTTATTTACTTATACAAGCACTGGGTACAGTCAGAAGCACGGGAGGGTGAGAGAATTCACCAGAGCCAGAGCGGGGAGCAGAGCAGGCAGAAGGACCTAAGTACACTGCTGAGGGGAGCAGCGGGCGGCAGGAGAGGTCTGCAGCGCCATGTGAGACCCTCACTGGTGGCCGGGGATTGAACTGGCGCTGCAGAGGCTGCAGGCAGCTTCACAGCCCAGCGCTCAACCATTGTGCCACCAAGGGAGGCCCTGCCTTTATTTTTTAACATAAAAGTGTGCTCACTCTGTGGGATCCAGGAATCCTGGTGAACTTTATCTGTGAGGCCCCTGGCCCTATCGACGCCCCCAATGCTGTATGGCCCTGCATGAAACACCTGTCCACCCTGAGCCAAATCTCAGAACTCATGAGCAGCGTACAGGGGACACACTGCCCTGTGACAGCCAGGCGGAAGCCCCTCCAGACACACAGCTTGTGCCAACTCTCAGGCTCCCTAGGGGCTGGCCTTGGGCCTTCAGTGGCATTAAGTCTCCTACAGGCTGGGTTCTTGGTTTCTGTCCTCAGATGCAGAGAAGGGAGGCAGCCTTGTCGTCGGAGACTTTGAGATTGCTGCAAAGTACGGTGAGTGGTGGATGCTTTGGCAAGGTGAGAAAGACCAGGACAGTGTGTATTTCTCACAGAAGACCTCCCTCCTGGCCCCCTCCCCAAAAGGCTTTTTTTTTTTTTTTTTTAACTTTCTTGCCACTCTGGCCTTATCCTATAACACTAGATGTCTGTGACTCTTCGGTAGGAAAAAGTACTTGAGCAAAAAGTTCAGGTCCTTTCTGGGAGAAGTGCCCAGGGTCATGGTGGCAGAGATGTGGCCTCTGAGACTGTAGCTTCCACCCTTGACATCGAGGCCAGGGGCACCAGTCCTCTTAGTTCTGGCAGCCAGAGCACAATTAGCAGCGAGGACCTGGGTATATCTCTTGGGAAGACAACATTAAAAGGGCACAGCCTAAAGAGCCTGGAGGGTGCACCCTGATATAGGCAGAGTTAGTCTGCACTCCACATACCATCAGCCCCGGGAGTGAACCACCCAGATCCTCATTAGGAAACTCTCACCCACAGTGTGCCGCACAGCAGAGACCCGGCCACAGAGCAACCCCTTTGTGTGCATGGATCTCACCTACATCAGCTTGCTGCTCCAAGAATTTGGCTTTCCTGGGAACAAAGTGCTGAAGGTAAGGACTCGCCTTCTGGGGAGTCCCACCCCCATGCCCTTTATGGCATAAAGGACCAGGACACTGCTTCTGGTCCTGAGTACCTTCAGCATTCAAAGTGGTCCCCTCTGTTCCTCCCTTTGTCTTTTCTAGCTGACTCGAAAAATCAACAATGTTGAGACCAGCTGGGCTCTGGGGGCCATTTTTCATTACATTGATTCCCTGAACAGACAGAAGAGTCCAGCCTCATAGTGGCCAAGCTGCCCCAGTCATCCTCACAGAAGCAGTTCTGTCCCCATGAGAACAGGCCCCTTTGGGAGTCCTTGACATGGAGGGAGGAGGCCATAGGCCCAGACCCTCTTCCCTGTGGCCTTGCAGACCTACCCCTGGACTGGCAGAGTGTTAGAAGCCAGTACAGGCCCAATGCCTTCTCCTGCCTGCCTTGGCCCCAGATGGGCAGGGAACCAGAGAGGGCAGAGGACACACACTGAGGCTGGAGCGATGCACCACCCCCCATCTGCACATTGGGCAGCTGTGATGTGCATCCCGTGACAGGAGTCTTTCTGTCTCCCCCCATGTGGTCCCTCCACCAAGTGCAGACCTCCCCCTTCTCCCCACGATCAGTGTGGTGATTGTACAGCTGTCCTGGCAGTTCTCAGGGTGAGCCAAGTGGGAACCACCGTGCCCTCTGGGACAGTAAGTCAGTGGAAGGCCGTGAACTCTGTTCTTGAATGTTTGTCTCCTCCTCGGGTATGGACATGTGAAGTCATCCAGAGGTCCACGTCCTCAGTCCTCCAGAGGAGGAACTGCTGTAAACTATTTGTGACTGTGCTGTGTGAGTGACGTCTGTTGTGTGGTGCTGAGTGCTTGTGTAGCAGCCACGTTCTGAGCCCCAGTGAATGTATCGCTGTCCTGAGCCATTTGCAGCCCAGCAGTGTAGGAAGACATAACCCCTGGGGTCAACCAGGGCTGCAGTCCCAGAACCTGCCCCCAGTGCCTGGGGCCACAGCTGATCCACCGGCAGCTCCCCAGGACACAGAACCTCGTCCTGCATCTGCAGGCTCTGTGAGTCATGGGCCATGTGCTCAGGTGTGGGCCCCAAGTCCACAATCGTCTCTGCAGTGAATGTACAGTACACAGAGTAAGCTAAGCCTCATGTGTTCCTCTCAAAATAAAAGGTTTACGAAGTTTCAGTTTCTCTGATTTCTATGTGAGCAACAGTGACATATGTCCGCCCACCCCACCTCGGGAAGCAACTTTACTGAAGTGGGTTGACAGGTGCTGATACAGCTATGTCCTGTTTGTGTATCTCATGGGCAACATCAAAAGGACACATGAGGCCACTGTCGGCCCTCCTGATGTCTCTTGGCAAAAACTGGCCCTATGGAGACCCAGTGCTCTGGCAGAGACCCTCATTTTCCAGCTGTCAGAACAGAGATCCCCTGGGAGAGGGAGAGATACCTCCTCTGGGACCATGACTCAAGCATGTGCCAGTAAGACTATGGGCACCCGCCCTTCTTGAGTGGTGCTGGCGAGCAAGCACTGAGCCCCAGGTTTCAGTGTTCACCTGCCAAGAAGATCTGACTCTAACCTGGGACAGTTGGAAGGGGGTCACATGCAAAGTCTGGGCAGGCCCCTGTCCTCAATACTCAGCACTTAGAACCACCACCCCCCACCTCTCTCAGCACCTGACCAGGGGAGCTTGGGGTCTAGCCCTTGGTATAGGTCCTCAGCAGGACCATCCTGGTGGTGGCCCATGTGCAGAAGAGGGCAGTGAGGAGAAAAGGAGGGGCAATGCTTGCTGCCTCTTCTCCATGGGCAGAGGAACAGAGGGAGCCAGTGTAAGCCCTCTTGATAGTGAAGAAGCGCTATGACCACAGGACCCTCAGGGGTGTCCTTCTCTTAGGGTGTCCCAATCTGGTCTGAGGAATGACCTTTATTACCCAACTCCAGAAGACTGGGGGAGACACCTAGGATGCAGCCTCTGACAGATGATTCAGCTCTTCTTTACCCAATTGTTTCTCTAAAACTTAAATCTGGGGCAGAGGTCTCAAGGTCAGTGTGTCACATGTGCAGGAAAGGTACTGTGACAGTAGGAAGATACTGTGACAGCAGGTGTCACAGTAGGAAAGGTACTACCCCCAAATAAAAAGCACCTGAGAACTGAAGCTAAGAAACTTTCACTGGACAAGGGCATGAAAACCTTGCTTCTCCCTGACACATCTGCCCACCCCTGCCTCATCTGGGTTTCCCCAAGTCCCTTTTCTTTCTATAACATCTAATCATTTAAATATTTAAAGAACTCCGGAGGCAAGGAATCAAAGATGCATGAAGGTAGAAGCAAAAATTGATTTGTTCCCTTTATAGGTTAGTGAGCTCACGTCTGAAAAAGTGTAAACAACTGGAAGTTTCTCAAAATGTCACCAAGTAAGTCATGGAACATTTTGGGGCCCAGCAAAATATGCAAGTCATTTCACTCAAGTAATAAAGTAGGTTCTTGTTTAAAAAAAGAAATAGCTGCAGTTGCACATCCCAACACATTGTAAAAGATGCAAACTAGGGATCCCATGCAAATTTTGTCCCTCCCATGCGCGTGCCCCACCTCAAAGAAGATGTGCATCTGTCAACTCAGGTCTTCCTTGCACCCCCACACCACTGCTGCCTACAAGTCCACAGCTGCCTATAAGTCCACACACCCATTCTCAGAACAGCCATCCTGTCATGGCTCCAAGTTGCTTCGGTCCTGGGGTACTTGTGTCATTCCCAAGGCTAGATGCCAGAACCCATCAAGTTCCCAATCCCACATCCATGTGTGTGACCCATCCTGATGTTGCCGGATCCAAGCCAGAACCATTTTAAATTGTGTCCATATCGCTAGATTTCCCTTAACTCCACTGCCCTCCCAGCACAGCTATGATCCCAGGATTTGCTCTACCACGTGACAGGTAAGAGGTGGCAGCTGGCGGTTCCCCATGCCCTGATCTATGATCTAATTCATCCTGTAAGTCCTAATTCATCCTGTCAGTCTGAGAGTGCTTCCTCTTCTGTGAAATATCTGTACATATCCCCTGCCAAATTGTCTATAAGATTGTTGTCAATCTTGCTGATTTTAGATTTTTATATATTAAGAAAATTAGTCATTGTTATGTGTTTGCAAATTGCTCCATTTTATTATTGCCTTTTGACTTTATGGTGGTTTTGTTAATGCACAATTTTACTACTTTTATGTATTTAACTTTGACATTTTAATACAATTTTTTTCCTGGGTATCAAGTTTTGTCACAATTAGAAAGGCTTCCTTGCTGAGATCATTTTAAAAGTTAGCAAGTTTTTTTTTTTTTTTTATGGTTTTAGTTTTTACATTACTTCAAGAATTAGCAGTACCTGATTTTTTTTAAAGATTTATTTATTTATTTATACAAGCACTGGGTACAGTCAGAAGGCGGGAGGGTAAGAGAATTCACCAGAGCCAGAGAGGGGAGCAGAACAGGCAGAAGGACCGAAGAACACTGCTGAGGGGAGCAGTGGGCGTGGCAGGAGAGGTCTGCACGCCATGTGGGACCCTCGCCAGGGGTCGAACTGGTGCTGCAGAGGCTGCGGGCAGCTTCGCAGCCCAGCGCTCAACCGCTGCGCCACCAGGGAGGCCCAGCAGTACCTGATTTTGAATACTCTTGGGCACAATAAATCACTGGTGCAGAATGGAGTTGATTTTTAGAATCATTTCAGAGTCAGTGATAAGCAAGAATGATATTCACATTGGATATCACCATTTTTTAATAGACTAAAGGCTGGCTCTACAGCAATGAGGCAATCCCAAAGGGAACTACAGAAGTATGCAGTCGTAGCAACCGTTAACAGTTGAGTGTGCAATTTCTGGGAAAATTATTTTAAAGTGACTTGTCTGGAGGCCATAGATGTGAGGAATGTTTGAAGTTATTGGGCTGTTCATCCTCATAAAGTTAAAAAAAATTTCTCTTGCTCTACTCACCCCTCCACTCTTCTCTCAGTACTGCATTCTGACAACCAACATGTGGGTTTATGCCAAGCAATTCTGGGACAACACCCTGCCATCCTGCAGTTTAACTCAATTCTGACATTACCTGAAGGTGGGTCAGGTCCTGCAGGGTAAGAGCTCAGTCCCACAAGATTGCCCTCACTCCGGATGCCCATTGCAAGTCAGGTTGTCACTTGTGCTTCTGACCAACCTGCTGTTAATCAGAGCTTCCCACAACCCCCGGCTCAGGTTTGCTCATTTGCTATAGGGGCTCACAAAACTCAAGAAAACAGTTTGCTTCCTAATATTGCCTGTTTATTACAAATTAATAGTCATGTGGAAGAGACATGTTGGGCATGTCAAAGTGGGGTGCTTCCCTGCCCTATAGGCATTCCACCCTCCTGGCACCTCCATGTGTTCACTGACCTGGAAGCTCTCCAAAACCAGCTGTGCGGGGTTTCTATAGAGGCTTCATTACTTAGGCTTCACTACTTAAATGACTGGTCACTGGTGATTATGTCAATCTCCACTGCGGGATCCTGAAGTTCCAACCCTCTCATTACAATTGAATCTCCTGGCAACCAGCCCCCGCACGGCAGTTACTTAACGGATTCTTCAAAGATCACCTTGCTAACAAATGAATGTGTGGTTGAAAGAACTTCTTAGACCAAAGACCAAATATGGTTGGGCACTGTGGGCACAAATATGTTTGGGCACCAAATGTCTTTGGGGCACTGCGAGCCAGGAATAGGGAGGGACAAAACATTTCTCATTATAAATCACAGTCCTGGAAAGAGAGGCTTTAGAGTGGCAGGAATTCAACAGCCATCTTCAATATTATAAGGATTATCATACCTTAACCTTGCCTGTGCTCCTCCAGAAGCCAGAGAGCTCAGATGTGTGGGAAGACATTTTCAGGTTCTATCTGTCTCACAAGGAAAGTTGCCCTGAAAAGAAGATGAACTCTTCAATCAAGTGCATCCCTCCTTGGTCAGCATTCAAGGGTGCTCCAGAAGGGGCCTGTGTGTGGGATGAGATTTCAGAATCAGGCACTTGCAAGATCTCTTCACACTGTGGTCCTTGGATTCACTCTGACAATTATTTTGAAAGTTCTAGCCAGGTAAACATGTGGAATATCCCTTAATTTTGAGTTAAAATAACAATGGCTTGTGTACATGGGGTGTATCTTGCATGTCAGGCATAGAACCCACTTGTTTTTTGCGTAGCCAACAATTTAATCATCACAGCCACTCATGGTCTGGGTGCTGAAACCAAGCAAACCCAGGGGGGATGATCAATTGGTAGATCCTCACCCACATGCTTATAACTGCAGACACAACCCCAAATGTTTTCCACATAGTGTGGAATAACAATAACAGGATTTATTTACACCAGGTGGAGGAAAGGGGAGAGCAAGAGAGGGTATTCACTGGCTAGCACCGGGTAGATGCCATTTGTACTACCCCAGGAGCATCCACTGAGCAGAGGCCTAGGTCCAAGCCAAAGCCATATACAGCAAGCTGGTGGCCTCTCCGCAGAGACCCTTCCTCACCAGCAGTTTAGCTGCCAGAAGCCTTAGCTCCTCCCTATTTCCCATCAGCCCCCATTTCCAGACTCCACCATCTTCTACCCACAGAGCACCACCCACTGGCTCAGAGATTGTGCCTCACTGTTCCTCTTACAGTGTTACTGTTCATCTCCACCCATCATCCAACAGAGAAGCTGGGCCTGAAAGAGTCAAATATCAGTGAGTGAGGAGATAAAGGCCCCAATTCAGTCCTAGGTCTGAAGGCTTCCAAACCCCAAACTAGGAAGCCACACTGAAATGAAACAAACCCAGGAGAACAGGAGTGACTGAGTTGATGGGTCCTCACAAGAGGGTTTACAACTGCAGGATGTGACTCAGAAACAAACGCATGGGGACAAACAATAACAAGATTTATTTACACAAGGAATGAAGAGGGAACTGGAGGAGAGGAGGGCAGGGAGGGAGGGAAAGAGAGAAGGAGACGTCATTGGAGAAAAGGGAGACTGAGAGATTACTGGCCAGCATTTGGTCAGATCCCATCTGTCCTACCCCAGACAGTGTCCACTAAGCAGAGACTGGTCCACTATGAAGCAAGGTCATGGGCACACAGGCAAGCTGGTGACTTCCCCACAGACACCCCTCTTCACCAGCAGTTTAACTACCAAAGTACTAGCTCATCCCTTTTTTTTCCCATCAGGTCCTGCTCAGGGTGGAGTCTGGAAACCTCTACCTTCTACCACTGAAGGTGTGTTCGTGCACCATCCACTAGCTCAGAGGTTGCTCCTCACTGTACTTCTTCACAACATTACCTCCTAAAATTTAGTGTCTCCAGCTGAATTTTCCCTCATCCCATCAGGTCTTGTTGTGCAATTGTTTATCAAAAGCAGATCTCTCTGGCAAATAATTAGAGTAATAATGGGCTTTGCGATATTGAGAAAAATAGTTATACAGTCCAGAGAAATAGTTAGCTCCAGGTCTAACTGCCTCTAATTCTTACTTTTCCACATTATTGATTAGTGAGTAAAGGCTTATGTTTAAGAGCTTGAGTGCAGCCTTGTAAATCTTTGTGTCTGCTCATGATTTACATAGCTCAGAAGCAGACATCCCCTTATAAGGCATCTTGGCTCAAGAACCTTTCTAAAGGTCAAAAGGACACCAGAGCCACTTTTCAGGGGGCAGTGGGATGGCTTTAAACATAACCTTCAAGGTGCAGGGTGCTCAGCAAACAATGCTGTGTCCACCAGGAAGATAGCTGATGATCAAATGAATTTACAAATAAAATACCAACTCTTGGAGGCTTGCAAGGACTTGTTCTAAAGCAATATGGAGAAATAGGAATGTTAGCCAGGGTTTTCAGCTTTCTGGAGATAGATTTCAAAGGATTTTTTTAATGACTCCATATATTGAAATATTATTTTACAGTAAAAATGGAGTAGTTACTTATACATGCTACATATGAATGACTGAAAGACCTTTGAAAACATTAGGCTAAGTGAAAGCTAGACACACAAAATCATATATTGCATAACTTCATCTATATGAAACGTCCAGAATAGGCAAATCCATGGAAACAGCAAGCAGATTGGCTCAGGGATAGGGGTCCGGGGAGGGGGTGGGGGGAGCTAGGGAGGGTAGGGGGAAAATTGGAAGTAATTGCTACTTGGCTTTGTAATAGGGCTTTTGGGTTATTGAGAAGGTTCTCAGATTATGGTAATGTTCATAAATTAATCGAAAACCATTGAATTGTGCATTTTAAGTGGGTAACAATGGTATGCAAATTATATCCCAATAAAGCAGTTTAACAATTGAAGACTGGGGCCTCCCTGGTGGTGCAGCAGTTGAGCCCGCAGCCTCTGCAGCACCAGTTCAATCCCCGGACACCAGGCGAGCGTCCCACATGGCGCGCAGACCTCTCCTGCCGCCCGCTGCTCCCCTCAGCAGTGTACTTCATCACTCTCCCTGTTCTACTCTCCGCTCTGGCTCTGGTGAATTCTCTCACCCTCCCACACTTCTGACTGTACCCAGTGCTTGTATAAATAAATAAATAAATCTTTAAAAAAAAAAAAAAAAAAAACAATTGAAGACTGGAATTCCAGGAAGGTAACAGCCTAAAAGGGTTTACCTTCAACAAGTTCCCTTCAAATTTATCCACATTACCATTTTGATCCCATCTGAATCAAATGATCCTATGTTTTGTCAACCCTTAGAATTTTTTCTGTCTGGCATAGTCTCTTTTACAGCTGTGGGCTGGGAGAAGATGGCGTCCTTGTGGAGAGGTCTGGTCTGCTCCTTCCTGCAGGTATTTGACTCATGGTGAGGGCCCCTCAGCTGCCTGATGAATAATGAAAGGTTGTCTAAAAAGGAAGCAGGAGAACTGAAAACTGGAGAATGTGACAGACCTCTCCTCTCCACCCCCCACCTCACTCACACAATCACACCATCCACCGAACCTCATAACCATACTTCCTTGTGAGGCCAACATCTTCCTGTTTTCTCAATGAGCATACCTGGCCAGGACTCCGCCCAAACCACACAGTGAGGGTCAAAGTTAGGCAGA